ATCTGGTTCCTATTCTGAGTGACCCATAACACCACCGAAGTGACAGGCAGTCTGGAAACCAAATACAGGAGGACTGAGTACGGCCTGAAGCTCATGGATAAACGAAACACCGACAACACCCTCGGCACCGAGATCACCGTGGAGGATCAGCTCGAGTGAGGACTGACGCTGACCTTCGACTCACCCGTCTCGCTTAACGGGGGAGGGGTGGGGCTATGCAAAGATCAAGACAGGGTACAAGTGCTAGTACATCAACCTGGGCTGCGACGCAGACTTTGACATCGCGGGGACTTCCATCCATGGTGCCCTGATGCTGGGCCACAAGGGTTGGCTGGCCAGCTACCAGATGAATTTGGAGATGGCGAAATCCCGGGTGAATCAGAACAATTTTGCAGTTGGCTACAAGACAGATGAGTTCCAGCTTCACACTAAAGTGAATGATGGCACTGAATTTGGTGGCTCCATTTACCAGAAGATGAACAAGAAGCTGGAGACCGCTGTCAATCCCACCTGGACAGCAGGAAACAATAACACTCGCTTCAGCATAGCAGCCAAATATCAGATCAACCCTGATGCCTGCTTCTTGGCCAAAGTGAACAACTCCAGCCTGATTGATTTAGGATACACTCAGACCCTAAAGCAAGAAATCAAACTGATGCTGTCAGCTCTGCTAGATGGCAAAAATGTCAACATCGGTGGCCACAAACTTGGTCTAGGACTGGAATTTCAAGCATAAATGCATACTGTACAATTGTTAATATTAAACTATTTGGCAGCATAGCTACCTTCAGAATTTAGTGTACCTTTTAATGTTGTATGTCTGGGATGCAAGCATTGCTAAAAAATCATGTTAGACTTCCAAGTTAAAGATGCACCTTTAAAGTGTTATCAGTTCAGAGGTACAGAAGAAACCTGATTCCAAAAAAGGACCTTTCAGCAGTACAAAGAGGGGAATTTGGTGGCGCCTTAGCAATGCCAGATTCCTTTTTAAAAAGAAATGGAGACATACCTGCAAGTGGAAGCTGATAATTTGTGGAAACTTTGCAATTCTGTGATGAGTACATGAATGAATTGTCAATTTCTGAGACTCAA